GATGATGAACATGAGGGGACGATGATGAACATGAGGGGACGATGATGAACATGAGGGGACGATGATGAACATGAGGGGACGATGATGAACATGAGGGGACGATGATGAACATGAGGGGACGATGATGAACATGAGGGGGCGATGATGAACATGAGGGGACGTGATGAACATGAGGGGGACGATGATGAACATGAGGGGACGATGATGAAAATTTAGGGGACGATGATGAACATGAGGGGACGATGATGAACATGAGGGGGCGATTGAACATGAGGGGACGATGATGAACATGAGGGACGATGATGAACATGAGGGAACGATGAGGAAAATGAGGGGACGATGATGAACATGAGGGACGATGATTTAACATGAGGGGACGATGATGAACATGAGGGGACGATGATGAACATGAGGGGACGATGATGAACATGAGGGGACGATGATGAACATGAGGGGACGATGATGAAGAACATGAAGGGACGATGATGAACATGAGGGGACGATGATGAACATGAGGGGACGATGATGAACATGAGGGGACGATGATGAACATGAGGGACGATGATGAACTGAGGGGACGATGATGAACATGAGGGGGAAAGATGAATAACATGAGGGGACGATGATGAACATGAGGGGACGATGATGAACATGAGGGGACGATGATGAACATGAGGGGACGATGATGAACATGAGGGGACGATGATGAACATGAGGGGACGATGATGAACTTTAGGGGACGATGATGAACATGAGGGAACGATGAGAACATGAGGGGACGATGGGTGAACATGAGGGGACGATGATGAAGAACATGAAGGACGATGGGTGAACATAAGGGGACGATGATGAAGAAATGAAGGGACGATGATGAACCCTGAGGGGACGATGATGAACATGAGGGGACGATGATTGAAGAACATGAAGGGACGATGATGAACATGAGGGGACGAGATGAACATGAGGGAACGATGATGAACATGAGGGGACGATGATGAACATGAGGAGACGTTGAGGAACTTTAGTGTTAATGAATAGATTTATTGAAAAAACAAAGTAGAAGTAATTTTATGTACTTAAAACAAGAATATATTTTATATATATAATATATATATATATATATATATTTTATATATATATTTTAATATATATATATATATATATATGTATATATATATTATATATATATATATATAAAATATATATTTATATATTATAAATATATATATATATATATATATATATTATATATATACATACATATGTATAAGAGTGAGAAGAGTTGCACTCATGCTGTGAGTGAACACTACCGGTCTTAAAGGCTACTCATCGACAATATAACTTGCCTATAATACAAACAAATACGGACGGTACTTATTTTTATAAAAATATTGGGACGGTTTTTACACATTGTCATTATTATATTCTTTAAGATAATACTTTAATAGACACTGAAAGGTTCTTAATTTAAAGAACTTGAGCTATCCTTCCCTTCTTGGTTCAAACCTGATTACTTTATATTCCCAAGGTACTGTATGACCCCTACGGGTTTAATGTTTCCCACTGAAATATAATAATATTAATAATAATATAACAATAATAATAATAATATATAATAATAATAATAATAATAATAATAATAATAATATATTGTTAATAATATATATAATAATAATAATAATAATAATAATTTGTTAATAATAATAATACTTTGTTATATAATAATAATAATAATAATAAATAATAATAATAATAATAAAATAATAATAATATAATTTGTTAATAATAATAATAATAATAATAATAATAATAATAATAAAATAATAATAATAATAATAATAATAATAATAATAATAATAATAATAATAATTTGTTAATAATAATAATAATAATAATAATAATAATAATAATAATAATAATAATAATAATAATTTGTTAATAATAATAATAATAATAAATAATAATAATAATATATAATAATAATAATAATATAATAATAATAATTTGTTAATAATAATAATATAATAATAAATAATAAATAATAATAATAATAATAATAATAATAATAATAATAATAATAATTAATAATAATAATACAGTACAATATTCATGGTGAAGGTCTATATATGTCAGCACCTACAAAACAGGAAGTAATCAGGTTTGATTTAAGGGAGGGGAGGATTGCTCCAGTTCGCTGGATCAAGAGCCTATCGCAAATATGAAGGTTTATTTTGGGATCGACATTAACAGCTTTGAATATGTAAATAACTCCCAGTTAAAATTATTTAAATCTTAACGAAACAACTTAATAATAATCATATAATTAACATATAATTAACCATCTAGCGGAGATAGGCGAAATTATACGTATATGTGTGTTTATTGGTTAATTTCCACTTGTGTATTGAGCTCTAGTCTCTGGGCCTGGGGTTCCATTAACCCATGTTGGGCTCTAATATCCGGGCCAGGAATTCCCTGATCCTACATTGGGATTTAGTCTCTGGGACCTGGGTTCCGTTGGTCTATAAGACTGGAGGAACACTGCAGCAGGCCAACTGGCCCATACAAGCCACGTCCTTCCCAAAAAATGGCATTAGTCTCTGGACCCGGGCTCTCCTGTCCCATTTCTGGCCAGATTTCCCGAAGAGCTTCTTCGAACTGGTCGCTAGGCGTGAGTTTTATGGGTTGAGAGACACGCACGAGCGTCCACAAGGATCATAAAACTACCTTGATATTCGCTAGCACGGGTTTCTACTTAAGGCGATTATACCTCTCGCGAGGCACTGACGCTCCAGGGATAGCAAGAAGAGAGTGGATAGGAGGAAGTGGTAGGAGTCTCCTGGACCGTTGTGATCTCTGCTGGGACGCAAACTGGAAGGAAGCTGGACGGAAACTGGACGGAAACTGAACAGAAACTGGACGGAAACAGAGAAGCAACGATTCAAGGTGTGATAGAGGAAGAGAATGACGGAGGATTTTTTTTGTGGCTAGAAAAAAAGACCTTTTGGGTATTATATATTATTATTATTATTATTATTATTATTATTATTATTATTATTATTATTATTATTATTATTATTATTAATTATTATTATTATTATTATTATTATTATTATTATTATTATTATATATTATTATTATTAATATTATTATTATATTATTATTATTATTATTATTATTATTATTATTATTAATTATTAATTATTATTATTATTATTATTATTATTATTATTACTTAATAATTATATTATTATATTATAATTATATATTATTATTATTTATTATTATTATTATTATTATTATATTATTATTATAACAACTAATATATTCATGGGGAAGAGCTAAAACCGTATGGGGAGTCATACAATGCCAGGATAAGAATTTTACCAGTTTTAATTATAAGCATCGGATCCTTGGCTGAGGATCCTTTCCCAGCTGTCAAGGATTCTGGATCATTATAAAATTGCTGAATAAGACTTGTAAAGTCTTGACACGTTGTTAAACGAGGGAAGGGCGGGGAGGAGGAATAAAGAAACGAGGGAGAGACAGAAGTAAAGATATAAGTTTATTTTGGAACACTTACGCAATTTTAGGTGATCGGAAAAATCGTACACAGTAACTTGTGTTAAATTACCTACGATAAGTAAGTTTTTAGGTGATCGGAAGAATCTTACACAGTAACTTGTGTTAAATTACCTACGATAAGTAATTTTTAGGTGATCGGAAGAATCTTACACAGTAACTTGTGTTAAATTACCTACGATAAGTAATTTTTAGGTGATCGGAAGAATCTTACACAGTAACTTCTGTTAAATTACCTACGATAAGTAATTTTTAGGTGATCGGAAGAATCTTACACAGTAACTTGTGTTAAATTACCTACGATAAGTAATTTTTAGGATCGGAAGAATCTTACACAGTAACTTGTGTTAAATTACCTACGATAAGTAATTTTTAGGTGATCGGAGAATCTTACACAGTAACTTGTGTTAAATTACCTACGATAAGTAATTTTTAGGCGATCGGAAGAATCTTACACAGTAACTTGTGTTAAATTACCTACAGTACGTAATTTTTAGGTGATCGGAATTGTCTTACACAGTAACTTGTGTTAAATAACAATGAGAACACAGAAAAGACAAAGTGACTGACTCTCACTGGAGTCCTTGAGTTATTTCCATTTGGAAGTATGGGAAGTGGAAAGGGATGGGAAGAAGGAAGGAAGAAATGGGAAGAAGAAAGGGTTGGGAAGAAGGAAGGATGTAATGGGAAGAAGAAAGGGATGGGAAGAAGGAATGAAAGATAAGAAGAGAGAGAAGTGAAGAAGGTAGAAATGTGAAGGACGAAAGGATGAGAAGAAGGAAGGAATGGGAAGAAGGATGGGAAGGGAAGAATGAAGAATGTGAAGGAAGTAGGGTAGGGAATTATGAAAGAATGGGAAGGAGGTGGGGAAAGAAATAATGAAGGAATGGGAAGGCGGTAGGGAAAGGAAAAATGGAGAAATGGGAAGGAGGTAGGGGAAGGAATAATGAAGGAATGGGAAGGAGGTAGGGAAAGGAATAATGAAGGAATGGGAAGGAGGTAGGGAAAGGAATAATGAAGGAATGGGAAGGAGGGAACACTACTGGTGTTCTCCTCGACTTCTCTGGTAAAAGCTATACACAGTGGCATCCGTGACTCGGGTCAATAAATACGAATGAGTCGCAGAATGGATGGTTGTAGTGGTGGTGTTGGGGGGGGGGGTTGTGGTGGTGGTGTTGGGGAGGGTGTTGTGGTGGAAGGGGGGAGTGTAGTTGTACATGGGAGTGAGAGGTTTTGTGGAGGGGGTGAAGGTGGTGAATTCTCTCTCTCTCCCTCCTCCCCTTCTCTCTCTCTCTCTCTCTCTCTCCTCTCTCTCTCTCTCTCTCTCTCTCTCTCTCTCTCTCTCTCTCTCTCTCTCTCTCTCTCTCTCTCTCTCCCTCTCTCCCTCTCCCTGCAGCAGTCAACTCTCCCTCGACCTATTCAGTGTGGTTATGATCGTCGACGTGGACGGACTGTTGCTTCCAGCTCCTCTCATTCCCCTCGTGTTCGCCGCGCCTGGGTTCCCTCAGTCTCTCACTGTGCGGTCTCTCCTCCCCTCATTCTCTCCGCTGGAGAGAAGCGTCCCCACCAGAGAGGGAAGGACTCACTGCATTTAATGGGTGTTGTGTAGGCCTGTATAGCGAAAGGCAGCAAGAAGAGGCCTGGGAGACCTACACATTAATCTTCCTGTCACGCTGAGAAAATCATCTCTCCACACACGGATGATCCAGCCCTAACGTGTGCCTACCCAGCATACTGGAACAGTTGATGTATGCTTGTGGACTTCCAGTGCCCTGTTGACTAGTTTAAGATATGGAATGATACCGTACATTGGGCACTGCATCCCTTTGAGCGCGGTACGATACGGTACGGTACTCTGTGGGAGCAATAAGAGGTGATCCCTCTATCTGCTGTGAACAGAGGTACGCTGTGGGAGCAATAACAGGTGATCCCTCGATCTGCTGTAAACAGAAATTTTGCTCTGCTTAAGGAAGCAGGTGACAGCACCAGCATCCAGCGTTAGTGTACTCGCTAGGAAGAACTGTATATTGTATTAATACATCACTAAACTGGTTTAGTTTATTCATCGCGAGAGTGGTGGAGGCTCTGTCCTCCGTTTGATAATTGCAGCCAAGTGGCTGATCAGTCAGGCTATTGGTAATACTTGCTGGAGGGAAAGGAGCAGTCAGAGATTTTGAGGAGGTGCCCGAGGACCAGCTGGTCTCAGGTGTGCACGCGCGTGTGCTCCGAGTGCGTGCGTGTATCAGCGATGAGCAGGCGGGGGCGGTGACCCCACCCACTTATAACACCTATCGCCGAGGAAAGGAAAGATGGTGGGCGTGGTGTGGGCGGCGGCTCCAGCGACAACGGCTGCGGTGATGTGTATGGGTGAGTACTGACCTTACCTCCTGGCTCACCTGTCCTCTCTCTCTCTTCTTCCGTCCCTCCCTCTCTCTCTCTCCCTCTCTCTCTCTCTCTCTCTCTCTCTCTCTCTCTCTCTCTCTCTCTCTCTCTCTCTCTCTCTCTCTCTCTCTCTCTCTCTCTCTCTCTCTCTCTCTCTCTCCCTCCCTCTCTATATTTCAGTTTTTTTACGGACGCTGTGAGACTAATAAGGATAACCTGGAAGAACAAGAAGAAATATTGGGATAACTTTAACAGGAGGCAAACATGATCAGAAAGTTACTGTTGGGCAAGATGTAGCGCCAGGAAGCCATGGAAGTAAGCATCACGCCGAGCATGTCACCAGAGCACACGTCATTTGCATATCTACACCTGCATAAGTATATTTACTTAAGGTTCCTGAAAGTATTTCGTAGGTTAGTGGGGATTTCTCGTAGGATATTACGCCCAAATTACGTTAAACCTTTCTTAGAGTATGCATTTGGCATGTCAACAAAGTTGGTAACGCAGTTGAAGGGGATGGACAGTAAGAACACAACTCTAAAAGAGATTCTTCTTTTTTATTTAGCACATCGGCTCTCTCTCTCTCTCTCTCTCTCTCTCTCTCTCTCTCTCTCTCTCTCTCTCTCTCTCTCTCTCTCTCTCTCTCTCTCCCCTCTCTCTCTCTCTCTCTCTCTCTCTCTCTCTCTCTCTCTCTCTCTCTCTCTCTCTCTCTCTCTCTCTCTCTCTCTTTATATATATATATATATATATATATATATATATATATATATATATATATATATATATATATATATATATATATATATATATATATATATATATACAATCACTGAGGTAATCTGCCACAAATTTATCAGATTACCAAATTACAATATAAATTTGCCTAAAAAATTACATATAATATTTTCTTGCCAACACAACTCGCTCCATCGTGTGATGATATTCATTCTCATAAAATTTGTCTTTTTATCTTCTTTTTTTTAAATAATTCATGTGAAAAATTTCTTGAAAGTATTATATGTTTTGGTCTTGCATGTCAGATTTAATTATAAGCTGTTTCGCCTGAAGGAAAAAACTGAAAGATTTTTTTCTTTTCATATCTGAAATTTAATTTAAGTTCCTCCGTCCTGATAAATCAATAGATTTGTTTTTTTTTGCAATGGATGCTTGCATAACCTACATCTTTTTTCGTTTTTTAAATTCAGTTGTTTTTCTCTTTTTATATATATGAAATTTCTGTTGGATATAATATTCACTAGTGTTATCGTCCGAATAAAAAAAAAAATGTTCCCCATATGATAAAAATATAATAACTTTTTGGGTGCCTCCGTACGCACACACTGCGCAGGATTTCTCTCCATAAAATATCAATTTATTAGGATTTTCCTGGTAACAGATGGCATGAAAATTTAATTTGATTACCTAGCGTGCTGGGGTAACGTTATGGAGCAAGAGCATTGTAAAGTTGCCCTGTGAAACCCAGGTCCACTGTCCGCTAACACACTGGGTGAACGATCCACTGACATGCTCCCCAGGTGAGAGAAGGAAGACCGAGGGAGACTGAGAGAGACTTGGAGAAACAGTACAAGAGGCAGAGTACTCATCACGCAAGTGTAAAGATAAACAGAGCAAGGTAATTAAAAGCAAACTTCACTTAGCAAATGGAGTACCAAAAGTTCTCCTGTACTATGGCCTCGTGAGTGTGTTGTTCCTCACACAGTTGTTCCACCAGTCATGGCCACACTCAAGGCATACACACATCTAGCACAAGAACCCTTTATTTCCAAAACGTTTCGTTCTGAGAACTTTTTCAAGTCACACAAAGGTATCTAACCAACATTCATAAATACGCATGGAAAGTAAAGGCGGAAACTTATGTATTTATATGTATTGGTGTATACTTCTGCATGACTTGAAATACTACTCAGAGGAAACATTGCTACAGTAGAGACTTTTCCTGGTACATGTGTGTTTTTCTTCAGTTGAGTGGGCAGTACGACCTTCAAGCGACGTCCTCAGTGTTATGAAGCAGCTGTGTCCTCATAGAGCAACAGACAACTCATTTCCCTCATGGTTCAGCAAACTGAGAATCATCTCATCTTACCGAAGGAACTAGACAGCACTGACAATTCCCAAACTTATGGGTTGTTTAAGGAAACTTTTATTTTGTGGTTCTTGTGGCAGCCTGTAATGAGCACCTTGCACGTCGCCCAGTTTTACATCTGTCCATAAATGGCATTAAACTTCCATATATATTTGAACCTATCGGTGTATATACTCTAAGAGACATTCGCCCCTAGGTGCATATGCACTGAGAGATATATACAGTATCCCTCGGTTTAGGTAAAAACTGAGAGTTTTAAGCCTCTCATTGATTGTAAACTGAGAAATATGCACCTCTCGTCATGCACAGAGAGATATACACTTTTCTATGTACATACCCTTGTCAAAACAACAATAATAACCTTTTAATGATTGAGAAGCGTCACCTTTCCTGCAGAGACTGTCACACACCGTCTACTGGACAGTCCGTCTTTCCTAAGTGTCAAATGACAGAATTAGGTGGCGTGCGGGGTGAACATTACCGTAAAACTTGATGTTATGTGTGTGTATTTGGAGTGGGAAAGGGGGAGAAAGGGGTGATTGGGGAGGGTAGCGGGAGGTTGGGGGATTGAAAAGCGGAGTGTTGGAGAGGTTGAGAAAGGGGGCAGAGAAGGGGTTTCCTTGTGTGTTATTGTTTATTTAATCAAAGTGAATATATTCGCAGCGTGCGGTTACTCTATCCCGTAAATGAGATGATGGAATGAACTCTTTTAAGTCTGACCTGACAGATTGTTTTAGTTTTTCTACAGTCAGTTGGTTTTCCACTAAAATTATGATACACAGGGTTAAAAAAATAATTTAGAGTATAAAGTTCCTAAGTAGTAGTATTAGTATTATCTTGGGGAAGCGCTAAATCCGTAGGGATCTTACAGCACCTGTGGGTGAGAGTGAGGCATTCAGGCTTAAGTTAGGGAATTGGAGCAAAGATCCAATCCCTTCTTCAAGCCCCCCTTACCAGCATCAAGGAATCTCCCTTGAGGGAAAAATGTTCCTAAGCTTATGGATTCTAAAGAACTTTCCATATTTAACTATCGTCAATCCACACTTTCCTCCTCCGTGTCATCAAGCACTCCACCAGTAGCTACGTTTTCGCAAGACGGGTTAATAGTACGTGGGACTAACCACCTCTCAGGGCGGACTATCACGTAAAAGCTGCTGGCAGTGTCGGGAATATCAGTGTTCAGAACCTGAGCAGGTTGAATCAGGAACACTAGCGTCTCTGACTGCGTTTCTCGGGGCACAGAAAGCTACAATGAATGTTAAAATTGCAGTTTTCATTCTCTGTGTTTACTTTACCTTAAGAGAGTGTTATGGCGAAGCTCCAAGAGTTTTTCCTTGTGTTGTCTGTGTGTGTACTCTCCAGTCTGCGAAGTAGCTTGTTGATATCTACACACCACATATGTGTACTGACCTAATTGTGGTTGCAGGGGTCGATTCATAGCTCCTGGCCCCTCCTCTTCACTGGTCGCCAGTAGGTCCACTCTCCCTGCTGCATGAGTGTGTGTGTGTGTGTGTGTGTGTGTTGGAGATTAATTGCTAATTAGTAAAGTGGACGAGAAAAATACTTATTCGATTCATTAGTCTCGTTACGAATAATTGTTGCTATTAGTTATGCTAATTGTTGCTATAATGTTGTAATGAGTGTGTGCTATCCTTTAGAGCGATTAATAGGCGGCAAAATAGGCTATGTGAGCCTTTGAGCAGGTCGTGTCTGTGTGAACCTTTGATCAGGTCGTGTCTGTGTGAACCTTTGATCAGGTCGTGTCTGTGTGATACTTGGAGCAGGTCGTGTCTGTGTGAGCCTTTGAGCAGGTCGTGTCTGTGTGAACCTTTGAGCGGATCGTGTGTGTGTTAACCTTTGATCAGGTCGTGTCTGTGTGAACCTTTGATCAGGTCGTGTCTGTGTGAACCTTTGATCAGGTCGTGTCTGTGTGAACCTTTGATCAGGTCGTGTCTATGTTAACCTTTGAGCAGGTCGTGTCTGTGTGAACCTTTGATCAGGTCGTGTCTGTGTGAACCTTTGATCAGGTCGTGTCTGTGTGAACCTTTGAGCGGATCGTGTCTGTGTGAACCTTTGAGCAGATCGTGTCTGTGTGATACTTGGAGCAGGTCGTGTCTGTGTGAACCTTTGAGCAGATCGTGTCTGTATGATACCTGGAGCAGGTCGTGTCTGTGTGAACCTTTGATCAGGTCGTGTCTGTGTGAACCTTTGATCAGGTCGTGTCTATGTTAACCTTTGAGAAGGTCGTGTCTGTGTGATACTTGGAGCGGATCGTGTCTGTGTGAACCTTTGAGCAGGTCGTGTCTGTGTGAACCTTTGATCAGGTCGTGTCTGTGTGAACCTTTGATCAGATCGTGTCTGTGTGAACCTTCGAGCGGATCGTGTGTGTGTTAACCTTTGATCAGGTCGTGTCTGTGTGAACCTTTGAGCAGGTCGTGTCTGTGTGAACCTTTGAGCAGGTCGTGTCTGTGTGAACCTTTGAGCAGGTGGTGTCTATGTGAACCTTTGAGCGGATCGTGTCTGTGTTAACCTTTGAGCAGGTCGTGTCTATGTGAACTTGAACGGACGTGTCTGTGTTAACCTTTGAGCAGGTGGTGTCTATGTGAACCTTTGAGCGGATCGTGTCTGTGTGAACCTTTGAGCAGGTGGTGTCTATGTGAACCTTTGAGCGGATCGTGTCTGTGTGAACCTTTGAGCAGGTCCTGTTAGTGAAATCTGAAGCAAATAGAAATCTTGTTTATTCAGCCGATTCGGCTATTATTGTTATATTTATTTTACTTTTGGCCTCTGATGCCGCTAGCTAACAAAAGTTACTCCAAGAAAATGAACTCACTCAAAAAAAAAAAAAAATAATACGGCTTCGTATTTTATTACCTAAATA